TTATTTAGCTTGCATTCTTACCACATCAAATTTTCAGTTACAATTAGCATCACCTTCGGATTTATATGACAGAAATATGTAGCTTATTTGTATCTTTCGCATACATGTAGATGATGGTGCATGACATTTGTCATAAGAACATTTCAAAAACCAACAACTCACAGGGGTAATGTAAGAAGAAGTCCGAAGAGTCAGAATATCATAAATTCAATAGAACAAATGAAACAAAATGTCTTATGATTATGTGTGAAGTGTAATACAGACATGCTGTCTGAGCATGTTCTATACAATCACAGCATACTGTGATTTATGTACTTTGTGTTTACAGAGAGATATGTCTATCCCTAACATACATGTGTGCTATACACTATAGAGAACATGTAAGCAATGTTATCATAATAAACATTTTGAATGATTTTTAACTAATCTGTGACAAGTGAAATGGTATGTTATATTATGCATATCATGCCATACTGTGTTCTTCAATGCTGCTCTCTGAATATATTTACCACTCTATGGCATTGCCACTCTATAACATTGGTAACAATAACTGCCAACTGGCCTATGAATTGAACAGAAATTTGTAGCTCATTTGTATCTTTGGCATACATGTAGCTGATGGTGCATGACATTTGTCAAAAGAACATTACAAAAAACTATATATACAACTCACAGGGCTTATGTAAGTATTAGGGTCAGAATTTCATAAATTCATGGGCTGATGAATGCCAACTGGACAAAGGCAAATTTAACATGAAGCACTAAGTGAAGGCAGTTCAATGCTTAATTGTCCCGACGACCTTATACACAACAGTGATATAATAATGACAGTGATTTTACTTAAGAGCAACACAAATTACACCTGCTTCTATTTGTCAGGAAGATCAACCCCCAACTTCTTCAGGTTTGTTGTTTGATCAAGGATTCAAACCTTTAAATCTTAGCTAAAGGCCTGTGTGTTCTTCTCTGCCCAATCCATTATGAGGTCAAATGTGATGTGTTGATGGGTTCAGTATGCTAAACTTTTTATTCTGGCCTTTGTATTTTAGATAAATAACAAGACTAACTTTCTTACCTTGACATGACTGTTTGCTTGCAGAGATGCTGAGATAATGCGACAGAAACAGTTAAACAAGGCAAAGGCAGCTGAAGGTGGTGCATGTGGAGGGAAGTGAAAATGATTGAAACTGAAAGCGCTAAAATAATCTACGTATTGATGACCTGTAAACTTCAAATCTGTAGATTTTTCACATAGAAAAGAGGAACCTTGTTAACCCAGAACCAGGAGAAGATTCATATATTTGGCGAACCAGATTAACCTATGAAATGAAGAAGTTTCCACAGATCATCTTGACTAACCTGGTTGATCGAGAACCAGAAGATTTCATATATAAACTGACTGAATTAACCAGCTGATCAATCAAGAACAAGGAGAGTATTTCTTTGATTTGGCTATTAAAAATTAGGTTAACATAGAAAGAGGAGAGGTTTTCATAGGCTTACTGGATTAACGAGGTTCCTTTCTTCACATTTCTGTTGTAAGGGAGAACATAATGAAATATTTATACCTGTTGGTATGATTAGAACTCTATTTTGGTGAAAATTTAATTAAATTTCAGCATTAAATGTATAATGCATACTTTAATTCTACTAGTAGGTTCAAATGGTAGTCATTGATAATTTGAAAACAGTTACATTGTATATGCTGTAGTTGGGTTGAATGCACATGTGTATTTCATGATACAGACAACTTTTAATACTCGTTTGGATAGATTTGAATATGATGTGCCAATGTTAACATCTATAGATATTTGTAGTCAGTGATGGCCTATTAGTATTATTACCATTTCTTAGTCCTGGCGGCAAAACTTTATTAGGCAGCTAGAGCTGTTTTAAGACTGTAAAATAAAAATTGTATTTGTAATGGGTCTGACTTAAAAAGATAACATTGGTTAAACAAATGCATGTTATGAAGTATGTCTTTCAAGTGCTAATCTGTTTTGGAATTGTCTGAGGTCTCATCATGTGTTGAACCTTTTACTACTGAAGCGCACAATTTGTTTGAATCATGAATTAAGAATATGGTTTGATTTTAAATTTGAACAAATATTTTAGGGTCCTATAGAAATCATGAAATTTTGATAAGTAAATGTAATCCGAAGAAATCTAGCAACTCTATTAAGATGTAGATTGAAGTATTTGTGTTTGTTCAACAAGAAACTTTTGTGTTCAGTGTTGTAGTAAACAGGTGTCATTTCAAGAGAATAAAGTTAACATGTACATGCCATTCTCAAAATTTGAACTCTTTAAAGGCATTTTGTGTTGAGATGAAGCATTCAAACATACTTGTAGCTGTAATGTCTAACCAGAATTCTTTCAGTAAAATTCTAATGATTTCAAGTTTTTACATGACTAGAAATAGCACAAAAAGCATTCATCATTTCTCATTACCAATATGACAGGTCAGATCTGAGAGGGAAACTTCAACTCTTTTCACCAGTAATATGTTTTGGTGATTTTGTTTGGAATTTCTTTTAAATGCAATTGATAATGATAAGTTTCCACCCTTTTAGTGCAAATTGCATGACGATGTTAATTATTTTGTTTGAATGTATTGTTTGTAAATATTTATAGATAATAAATGTACTTTGGAAATGTATTAATTTTGGATTCAATGATCTAAGATTATGACAGGCTATTTAAAGAATGTTTCAAATTCCCATGTCTTGTGTCATGACATACAGATGACTGAGTGGTTTAGATCAGCTGCTGTAGTATATACATTTAGGATCATTTGTTGTCTGAAATTGAAAGGATACAATAAGATATGATTATGGCTCAAAACGTTTTCATAAAATTTTAATAACATTACATTTAATCTTTCTGGTTAGTTCTGCAAGTGCAGACATTTTATGTTTTGGCCATCATACTTATAATTATGATATTGAATTTCATGCGCCAAATCATGTGGAATTCCTCTCAAGTGACAGCAAATAAGATCTTGAATTTGGGTACTCTTGTCTTTGTTGCATGTTAATCATATGATATTTGCACCATACATTGTCTACAGAAATGGTGTTTATGAAAAAAATGTATGGTTTTATACCGTATGTTTTCTCATGAATTTAACAAATCTGCATTATTTTAGAGTCCTGTCCCTTCTCATGTTTTGGTACAGCACTATGGGTCATTTAAAAAATAAATAAGGGATCTGTGTTTCTAAAAGGAACTGAAATCTTGTGTCTAATTAATAATTTGTGTAGTACCAGTAGTACAGATGCCATTTTCATTTCTTATTCTAAATGTTCACTGCAGGTATACATAGTGATCTAGCAAACTGTGTACAGTTCATGTTTTTACAATATCTTGATTTTGAAAACACTTTTAATAGGTTCATATGTTTAATTTTCGTGACATTGCAAACAATTGTAAAATATGCTGTCATGTCTGTTTTTTGTTTAAATGAAATTGCCAATAAACAAATACATGCTTTTGCAAATATTTGTTTTAATTATTATTTTGCAGCTGTTGAATGTAATCACTCCCCTGTTCTGCAGTGTTCAAAAATGCCTTTGTCAATATACTGCAAGCATAAAAGCCATTCCCATGCATGCTACTACATCAGTACCATTACCCATTGCCTATTGGTTTAACATTTGATTCCTGTGACCTTGAAAATGAACCAAGGTCAATTCATTTGAACAAACTTGGTATCTGCTCATCTCAACATACTGCAAGCCAATTATCAATACTTTTGGAAGCAGCTCAAGGTCAGCTAATTTGAACAAACTTGGTCATCAGTCACATCTGGGCTTGAGCACTTGAAAGTTCCCATTTAGTTGGGCATTGGTCGGGTGGCACAGTGGTAACGCACTTGCCTTTCACCTAGCCATCCAGGGTTCGATTCCGGAATGGTACTCCAGTTTCCTCCCACACTAAGACCCCTCGCGCGCTTCCATCCGAGCCAACAAGAGTGATTGATATAAGTTGGAAAAACTTGCTTCGCAATTGTTGTAAAATAAATTTTATTATATATTGGCTTAATTTTAATTTTGTATCAAGAGTGTCTTTCCATGTTTCTCTAAACAGATCCCATCTTGGATTGTGGACATGTCTGTAAATGACTAAAGGACCAGCACCATTCTATAACTATGAAACAAATAATTGGAAGAATGTATGGAGGTATAAACAGATATGATGGACTACATTCATGTCTGAAAACCAGCTTTATGTTCCAGAATGCTTTAACTTCAATCAGCATGAGATTTGTGGGCAATTCTTTTCATGTACTGGCTAAATTTTACAACTCTTTAATTTTTCAAATGTGTTGAGCAAGTTGATGGATATGGTAGCTACCTGGGATTATTGGATTTCAGACCAGCCTGAAAATTATCCAACACTTACTCAGAATGATTATGGCAGGGTAATTCCAGATAAGTCTTGGGTAAATCAGACAGGAAGAATTGGGTAAAAATTTCAAAGCATCAAAATTTCAAGCAAAGTGCATGACAATGGATCCCAGACTAAACTATGAATATCAGTCATTCTATTGTTTAAAATCTGATGATTGACAATCAATGTTTTCTCCAATAGGGCATATTCACACAATTCATCAGACCCCATTATCTTATTATACCTGTGTATGTGTCAGTAATTTGTATAAGAAGATTTTATGAATATATCTACAGAATCATGGTTACAGCTGAAACATGGCTTACAGGTGATGTGATCTTCAGCAGTTAAATCACAACCTACCATCAGTAGAGATGGAAACATGTCGATGTGACTTACTGCTTCAAACCCAATGCTCTTCTACACTATTTACCATAAGACCTGGAATGTTCTGGGGCATGTTTACACTCAATACTTTGGATTATGTCAGCTTAATACATAAACTCTAGATACATTGCTGTAAGGAAACATTCCATGTTAAGATCAAACGAACAGGGTATCGTGGTTTCATTATATACCCATACTGGATGATCAAAAATAAAACAATGAAGATTTTCTGAACAATTTAATCTACAAAAGTTGATGACGTAACGTCTGTGATCACATTGTAAAGAAAGAAGATGACAAAACAATGTAAACTTTCATATAGTAATTCTCTAATTCATATTGGCATCAATGTAATATACAAATGGGCTTTCATCTCTGTGTTATCGATCCTGGATGACCAATTGAAGAAGAGGGATAACAAAATGAGCACTTTCTTATGTTGAAATTTTAACCTCAACTACCTAAAAGATTTTCAAATCAACATTGTTTCCTGCCAACAATTTGCTGCAAGTTAGAACACTTGAAATATTATTGTACCCTAGCTATTTGTTACACACTGCAGTTTGCAGCGTACATTTTCTTCTGGAAATGAAGTCTCACAATTGTTATGAAATATGATACTTCAGTAATTAATTCTTTCTCTGTCATTCTCCGTCTTACAAATTCCTGAATTGATAGTCTTACTATCAATGCACATTGTGGACCCTTGTATCAGGACATAATTCTCCAAAATGTATTACAACTTCTGAAAATGTCACCAGTTTATTTTTCTTTCTTTTTCTCTGCTTCTTCTTTAGCTTCTTCTTCTTCGTGTTTTTTAATATATTCTGTGACTTCTTCTGCTGTTAAGATTCTGATCACTGTTTTCTCATTTTCTCTTGTTAGTGTGGCTATTTCAACTGCAAAATAAGATGTTACACTGAAAAGACTTTCATATAACATTTAAATATATTTTAAAAGATGTGCACTTACTGTTAATTATAATATTTTAAAAGTTTGCAAAACCATTTTGTTAAAAACATGAAGAAAAAATCTAAATAAAGTAGGAGCCACCCAACACTAATTCATATCATTGTCATTCAGAAAGCGTAAACAATGTATTTGCTCAGGCGCCTTCCTCAAAAACTGCTATAATTTTGAACATGGTCTTATTTTGAGTATTACAGCACATACCTGAAATCAGACGCATGAAAAAAAATAATGAAATCTAACCATCTAATACCTTTAAGGCATTCATAAAATTCATCTATTGAACTTGAAATACCAGGTTATGAAAAGATGAAATACCCTCATATCTTTGATACAAATATGTGAACAAATGGAATTTAAGTTCAATCCTGAATATTTGTTCCTATATACCTTTTTCTGCTGTCAGCTTAGTCATGTCAAGTGTTTTACTCAACACCTTCACAGCAAGCATGAGGCCATCTTTCATGCTCATCTCTCCCTCTTTATACTCTTGTTTCAGCATTGACACAGCATTCTGGCACACAAAAAATCAAGTTACTATTTACAACTTGAGAACATGATGTCAACATTGCATTCTGCCATAAAAAAGACTTCAAATAAAAATCATCCTTGAAAAGTTGAATATTTTTTAAAGAAAGAAAATGTAGATATGACAATGTAGACATATATAATCTCAGTGATTTTAAATACATGAATCATAGCTATCTTATTTGTACGATATAGATAGCCCTAGCTAACAGATTCAGCAAGTTACAGACCAAGAGTCATCAGTTTACAATTTGAATATCTATAGAAAAGTTTGGAAATTTTACGCTGTTTTACAATAGTGATCTTAAAAGTCAATCAAGGTATTCACTTGGAGAAATCCTTACTCCCAAAAACCATGAACTGATTACAACAAGCCAATGTTGCTACCCTCAATCATTCTTTTATCTTATATATTTAACCTTAACACAAGTTTGTAATTGTAAATACATTTAGGTATATCAGTAGAAGCTATGTGCCAATAAACTGTATTATGTTTTTGAGTTGATAGCAAACAGAAGACAAAAGAGCTCATAGAATACAGGTGTTAGGTGATAATGATTTATCTACTCATAGTGTACCAATACTTACAGCACTGTTATTACCAATACAGGTCGCCTTCCAGCCTCCATAGTTACCACTGGGGTCACTCTGATACAACTGGAATCCATAGTGTTTGTCCCATCCCATGTACAGAATAGACACTCCAAATGGACGCTTACCTGCCATTAGAAATACAGAAAGATTCGTTTCAGAAACATTCCAGATTTAAAAAAGGGAGGATGCTTTTCACTCACAGACAATATCTGGCTGTTAACAGATATTGAATAACACATACGATAGTGTGTACTGTGGATTTGAGGAAAGAAAAGGTGATTACAGTCAGTTGTCTCCCTATAATACAATTAGTATGTACATTTGTCATGAAAGTGGGTACAATATATCATCAATATCATAAATTTTTACATGTAAGCAAAACCATGACAGTGAACACATTATTTTCAATATTACCCAAATGTATAGAAATGTACTTAGATACAGAAAACAATATACAATATGCTGAATTTCTCGAGTCATCCTGTGGTATTATTTTATATCTAAAGACTATTTTCAAAATTAACATTGTCACGAAAAAATAAAATATGCAAGTTGCATCATTACTTATACCTAAGCCCTAAATAATAATATACATTACACAGAAAATGATCTTGTACTTATCAAAATTATTGTATCTGGAATGGATAACAAAAAATGAGAGGTTATCCCCCTTACTACACTGTTTAATAGAAAAACAAAATATCTTCATCTTATAAAAAGAAGTATTAATTGCATTCCACCAATGTAACTGATATTTTGATGTAGATCATTTCTTACTCTTGATGTTTTTTAAGTATGGTTTGGCATCCTTCACAAATAAAATGATTAGATAATCAATAACCTTTGATATACTATTCACGATGGAATATATCACCCACAAATGGGTTTTGTGGGGTGGGGGGAAGGTTCTAATGAAGTAATAAAAGATTTTGTTCAAGGAGGTTTTGTTGGGGGGAACAAGATTCTAATGAAGAAATAAAAGATTTTGTTCGAGGAGAGAAGGTACAGTAGGTAACACAATTGTCACTTGTTGGTGACTGAGGTTGAATTCCCTGAGTAGACATTAAAAGGTTTGAGGCCCTCTGCCTGATAAAATGGGTTTCTTTGGATATTTGTCTCCCACAGTAGGACATGTAAATGTTACTATCCTTACTTCTCCATGATTGCATGTGGGGGCATTCCTATCATATCTAGGTTCTGTAACAGTTTGAACTGTGCAGAGACACCATTGTTTTATAAAAAGATTCTATAATGCACAACATTGGACACTATTTCATCTCTACCTCCAAATTGTGTGTAGGCCTGTTTCAAATCACATAGAGAGCTAACCAATTGTTCACAGGGCATAGGCTCCTGGTAGGCAATCATATATCTGAAAGAAACAAGGTTAAATACCTCTTATCCACTGTCAGAAACTATCACAGATACTATTATAAATTTTGATTATTAATTTCATTAAAATTATCTATTAGAAACAAATAGTTTCCTTCCTAAGCTATAAGTTATTGTAAATTTGTGTAGAACCAAAGAGTTCAAAGAAATGTAGTAACTGTTTTCACTACCAGGTATTGATCTATATTATCCAATGTAAACAATGATTTGTTTAAAATAATAGGATGTAGTGCAGGTATGTGATGACAGAGAAAATGCTTTCATTCTAAAATAAAACTTCCAACATTTGTCTGAAACTATTCTGTTTAAAACAAGGAAAATTCCTACTGCTGGAGCAGTAAAAAAAATGTATACCTTTGGGCAGATAACCTCAACTCATTTGTCAATACATTAGCATCTGATGTGATTCCAGCAACACTACAAGCCATGTCACTGAAAATAAATCATCAAATTTTCTTGCAAATTAATCCTATCAATAAGTTGGTAATAACAAATAGGATATGTAAAATTCTTTAAACACTTGTAATTTTATGAACCTGTGACATGACTAAAAAATTCTATCATTAAATCTCTGACTAACAGGAGTGTTCTTCAGATCTTCAATAGGAAATGTTGTATTGCAATATCACAAGATCAGAATCAAAATAATATTTATGCATAATTCATTTCAACTACAAGTCTGACATTTAAAGGAAACATTTGTTTGGTTAGATCCATTTCAAATAATTTCAACTTACTCATGAAGTTTGTATATTTTTTCTGAATATGACACCTCATCTAGAAGTTTGTTGGTGTTTCGTCGTTCTGCTGCCAGTATAACACAGTCATTTGTCTGGATTCCAAGACAGGTTCCAGCATGACCAATCGCCTCCATTGCATATTCAACTTGGTACAACCTCCCTTTGGTATAAAATGAACTTTTCTTTTTGCAATATTTGTATAGAAAAGGACTGAATATCAAAATCCTTAAACCATTTTTATGTGTTAGTGGAGGGTTTGTTTTGAAAGAGAATTTAAGTTACCGTACTTCTCCATCAACATTTTAAGACAATCTTCCAATCATGTGAAAGATACATAAAACAATTTTCTAGAAAATTCTAAATGACTTCTATAGTTCAATAAATACAACTGCATCATCTGAACACAAAACAACTTTATGACTATAATTTATTAAATTCTTTGTTGCAATTTTGAACTCACCTTCTGGAGAAAAGATTGTTGTTCTGGAATCATACCTTCGAGACTGAAATAAAAACCAACAATTTTGGTTCTTTATTATTACATCAAATGTAATCAAAATTAGATTTACATTAGTAACTACATATTACTAGCTGTGATATATAAATGCAAGTTTTTCATGAAGATATGGCTTTTAACCATCATCAACAAATAAGTCAAAAACTCACTTGAACCGTTTGGAAAATTTAAAGTCAACCAACTACCATATGCTGCCCCTAAAGGCAAAACACTGAAAGAGACTTCTATTAATACACACTTATATCAACTTTTTGAGATAATTAATATTATACAAACCAATTTCTTACAATGATGTTGTTTCTACAATTATTGACTATGTCATAAACCTACTAGTATTGACTGACAGTGTGTATTCTCACAAATCTGTGTTGATTATTTAGTATATTGTATCACAGACTTACATGTGCAGATACTTTAAGCTTTACAACTAGTATTAAAATAAGATTCATATATGGACAGATACCAGTATCCCCAAGTCATTCATTGATTAGCTGATTAACAGAAAATATTGTATGTCAATATCTACAATCTGAACGACTCTGAAAAAAATACTGTTGAAATTAATACAAAGTTATAATCATTTACTGGAATTAACTCGTTTCCAAGAACAAACAATGCAGAAGGATCCCATTCATTAACTACCAAATACCAAAACATCCGTTCCGTCGACCAGCGCCGTATAATACACCCTCTGTATGATACGTCCTGAACCCTGAACTAAAATTTTAATTTTATCAACGAATACCTGTAACAACAACGAAAAACCCCCCCCCCCCCCCCCCGCCAATTTCTCCATCTAATCTTTCGTTTATATGGAATAACGTGTGATACAGAAATATTGGTTATTAGAAATAACATACTAGTATGAACTAGCTACACTAACTGCAACGTATGTGCCGACATATTACAGTACATTTCTTCTTTAAGCAATAAAAGAATAGGAGAATGACAAAGCCGGTTTGATCGAACACGACAGGATAATGTCATCGACAGATTTAAAAAAAATACAGACGGTAGCTAAAATATCATTAAGAATTGGTCAATAACTTAGATTTTGCCAAATCGATACAAAAAGATGTAAAATCTCCATTAATGACGCTAAAAACTGCATTAATCAAGCATGATATTGCTAGCTTTCATATCACCTACCATGTTGGATTTTTATACAGAGCTAGCCAATATCCGAAGTTGGATGTTTTCGTATTCTGCCAATGATAGTAAGGAACGGCGCGAAATTCAAAGTTCAACATACTGTACCGATGTCTTATAAGTAGATGGATGAACTGAAAACGGAGAGACAACAGTTGATGGAAAAAATCTATTCTAATTGATCGTAAACACTAATATGTTAATATGAAGACCTCAGTTAGAAGATTGTAAGATAAACTATTCAGTGACCAATAAATATTTTTAATCAAGGTCAAGCACTTACTTGTAAATTGGGTAAACCATGTTATGTATAGCGTCTGAACATTGTAAATGTATCATGTGTTTGGAAAAGAAAGTTCATACTTATTTTAGGAGATTATAAATTGCCATTCTGATTTATGTGTATTCAAATATTAGTATCTCACTCCCTTTCCTCTCTTGACTCCGCCAGTCCGTGCTGCATCTCTTCTAATGGTGGTCAGGTTACTTTCCTCATATTGGTATAACCCAGTTCATGTTACATGACTCTCCTCCTCTAACATTTGTGTAACTCCGGCGATATTATTCCATTCCTCTCACATTGATGTAACTCGGGTCATGTTACTCCCATCCTCTCACATTGGTGTTACTCCATTCATCTCGCATTGATGTAACTCAGGTCATGTTACTCCCATCCTCTAACATTGGTGTAACTCAGGTCATGTTACTCACATTCCTCTCACATTGATGTAACTCAGGTCATGCTACTCCCATCTTCTCACATTGGTGTATCTCACGTCATGTTACTCCATTCTTCTCACATTGATGTAACTCAGGTCATGTTCCTCCCATCTTCTAACATTGGTGTAACACAGGTCATGTTACTCCCATCCTCTCACATTGGTGTCACTCCATATCTCTCATATTGATGTAACTCAGGTCATGTTACTCCCATCCTCTAACATTGGTGTAACTCAGGTCATGTTACTCCATTCCTCTCACATTGGTGTCACTCCATTCCTCTCATATTGATGTAACTCAGGTCATGTTACTCCCATCCTCTAACATTGGTGTAACTCAGGTCATGCTATTCCCATCTTCTCACATTGGTGTAACTCAGGTCACGTTACTCCATTCCTCTCACATTGATGTAACTCAGGTCATGTTACATGACTCTCCTCTATTCACATTGGTATAACCCAGTTTGTCTTACTTCTTTCTTGTATTGTGTACAAGTAATCCAGTTAATATTTCTTATTTCTCTCACATTGGTGTATTCAAATTCATGTCACTTCCCCTCGGTCACATTGGTTTATACAAATTCATGTCACTTCCCTTCAGTCACATTGGTGTATACAAATTCATGTCACTTCCCTTCTCTCACATTGGTGTATACAGATTCATGTCACTTCCTTTCTCTAACATTGGTGTATACAAATTCATGTCACTTCCCTTCAGTCACATTGGTGTATACAGATTCATATCACCTCCTTTCTCTCACATTGGTGTTTACAATTTCATATCACTTCCTTTCTCTCACATTGGTGTATACAAATTCATATCACCTTCTTTCTCTCACATTGGTGTATACAAATTCATGTCACTTCCCTTCTCTCACATTGGTGTATACAGATTCATGTCACTTCCCTTCTCTCACATTGGTGTATATAGATTCATGTTACTTCCCTTCTCTCACATTGGTGTATACAGATTCATGTTACTTCCCTTCTCTCACATTGGTGTATACAAATTCATATCACTTACTTTCTCTCACATTGGTGTATACAGATTCATGTCACTTACTTTCTCTCACATTGGTGTATACAGATTCATATCACCTCCTTTCTCTCACATTGGTGTATACAGATTCATGTCACTTACTTTCTCTCACATTGGTGTATACAGATTCATATCACCTCCTTTCTCTCACATTGGTGTATACAGATTCATGTCACTTAATTTCTCTCACATTGGTGTATACAAATTCATATCACCTCCTTTCTCTCACATTGGTGTATACAAATTCATGTCACTTCCTTTCTCTCACATTGGTGTATACAGATTCATATCACCTCCTTTCTCTCACATTGGTGTATACAAATTCATATCACTTCCTTTCTCTCACATTGGTGTATACAGATTCATATCACTTCCCTTCTCTCACATTGGTGTATACAGATTCATGTCACTTCCCTTCTCTCACATTGGTGTATACAAATTCATGTCACTTCCCTTCTCTCACATTGGTGTATACAGATTCATGTCACTTCCCTTCTCTCACATTGGTGTATACAGATTCATGTCACTTCCCTTCTCTCACATTGGTGTATACAGATTCATGTCACTTCCCTTCTCTCACATTGGTGTATACAAATTCATGTCACTTCCCTTCTCTCACATTGGTGTTTCCCAGTTAATGTTATTTCCCTTCTCACACAATGATGTAACCAATTTCATATTTCTTCACACATATTGGGGTAACCGAGTTTTATGTTATTTCCCACCTCACATACAGGTCTTACTACGGACATAGATATGCAAGACTGTGGTCTTACTTAGTTCATGTGACCTTAATTCCCATCTCACAAAATGATGCGATAAATTCCATAATGTTTTTCCCTCCTGTCATACTGATGTAATCCTGTTCATGCCTCCTATTGTACGAGTGCAACCACGTTCATTCCTCTCGGTTATGGTTATAATTCTGTTTATTCCTCCTCTTGTATGGGTGCAACCCAGTTTATTTCTCCTGTCATTGGCATAATCCAGTTCATCCCTTCTTTGATATTTGGGTAAACTCAGTTTATGCTACTTTTCTCCTACCAAGATAGAAAAGAAAACTTTGTTGTGAGTAAACAAAATTAAACTATTAACAGCTAAATGAATGTAACAAACAAATGACACCTGTTATTCGGTTGTTCCAGCCATATTTAATTTCCACTTTTTTTTTTAAGGGGTTGGGTTGGGGTTGGCGGTGGGGGTGGGGGGGAGGGGGGGGAGGAGGAGGTTAGAGTGGAATTTAGGCTAACAACAAACTATTTGAAAACTATGTACTTTAAAGTGTTTGTTGAGAAACGACAAGCAAACTCAATAGAAATTGAATGGAATTTTATTCCACATTGCATTGTATTTTAGCAACAAAATAGTGATACTATACATGTAAGTTGATAACAGTATTCATATTCAAGCTAACTACCTGGAAACATATAGGTACTGCAGGAGTACCTGGGGTATATTATTCCATAACTAGAACACAATGATGTCACGACGTGGGAAATACACCTGTTTACAGGTAAAGTTGCAAGCAAAACAAAAAAGTTACATCCAATATCGGATCAAAAGGGGTTCCATTTTGAGTATCATAGCTGGCATTATGGAATCAAGTGTAGGATTGATTTACAATTTAGTTCACTTAAATTCTACCAGATTCAAGAGCAGCCCAGATAATAGTCTATTTTATTTTTTTTTTATATATCCCTCTCGCATCAGCACTGTGTGTGTGTAAATATATATGTATATATGTGTAATTTGATGTTCGTTTAAAACATTTCATAATTTTAGGAAATCTTGTTCATGTAGATTTAAAGTAATTTAAAATAATGTAAGAAAACAATAGTATATAATGAAGTTACCATAAATAACCATCAATAAATACAGGAATGTAACAAGAAGTGATATACAGAATCCACATTACATAGTGTGTGAAATATATCAGGTTGTATATGAAATTTTAAATACATTCACTGTAAGTACAATTTTTTAATTTCTATACCCTTCTGATGATGTTCCAATTGTATTGTGTAAAATTATTCCATATAAGCCAATATCAGCTGGATAGCACTTTCATGTTTGTAAGGTGATAAGTGACAAATTAAATGTTGTGAAGACATACACATAATTCAGATGTATATTTATACCTATTACAATTGTACATTGAATAAATGATTCCCAATACAAAGATTTTCACTGCTTTAGACACAAATCTCAACTGAAAGAAATTCTAATAAGCCTTCAGTTAATTATCAGCCATTGTTACTCTGATAGTACACAAAATCATAGTTTAGTATTTTTCATGATAAAATGAAAAAATATTATATTATCAGTTAATTTAATAGTTCATAGTGCTATAATTACCAGTACTGGCACTAAGTAAGTACTATAATGTAATAATAGCAATAATTAAGCCCATAATATCATATAAAAATATTTAATGTGCTACCGGGCAATTTGGTTCACCTAAAGTAACATTCAATTTGCTTTTTATTAAGTATCATATTCATTGCAATGACTGAAGCTATAGTGTACTCAAAGACATCAATATTCCAAAGTATACGATTACTGATATGTTTTAGATGATGCTTTTGTTTAAGTATTGCACTTAAATATTGGTCAATACATCACATTAATATTTATGTCAACTGATGTAATTAAACAAATTAATATATACGTTGTTCTTATTGATACAGCACATTTCTAACTTCAAGGGGCTGATATAAACTCCTGAAAGCCGAAATTTTGGGATCCAGTAACACGAGTAGAGCCATGGTTTGCAACTCCTTCAGATAAATACAGCGAGCTTGGACGACGAGGACATTTTGGTTGTTTCCTCCTCCGAACAATTATCCTAACTGCCAAAAAAATGATGCATACAAATAGACAGAAAAATGCAACACCAATGAGACATGAAATTAGAATGGTCATCTGGACACGGGTCAGACCAGATTCCTTCCCTTTCACTTCTCCAGCCGAGGGGGTGGTCACCTGAGAGTTGTTATAGGATTTTGTGTTGAGATGTTCTTCCATTCCCTCTTCCTCATCAATTTGACTTGAATCATCTGAGAAGTTAAAAAGAAGACAAGATATGTTTGAAAAACATGTACTATGTTCCAATGGGGAAACCACTAATGAAGGCTGGGACAATTAACTGATAAGCATTTTTGCAATAAATCAAAGGTGTAGCTGAACAATGTAGTATCCAGTGAAAGGTCATCAGGAATATATGTGCTTAATAAGTGGTTTTTTTATAAAAAGGTATAATACAC